GATTTACTGGTAGTCACGAAAACAATACTTAATTCGAAAAATAAAGTAAATTCTTAATATGAGATGTATTCACCCAATTTCGTTTAAGGATGAAAACAACTTTTGGGAAATCAAGGTTATGTGAAATTAAATGGAAACGTCAGCTCAACTTATATCATTGTGGGAAAATTGTACTACCAGTCCTTCACCACCTTAGACGAAATTGGGTAAATACATCTCATTTTACTTATTTACTCGTAGTCTCGAAAGTCTACTTACATACGAAAAATGATACATTTATGAGTGTAATCCGTCCTAAGCTGACTGCTTCTTTTGGTCACCATGGTTACTATATACCAGATACTAATGCTAATATTACCACCTCAGACGACCCATGCGACCGGAGGCCATGTTGATGGAAAGCAAAGTTTGACCATATTATTGAACTCATGTCAACTCTTTTATTGGCCGAAATGTTTCCACTTCAAGCCTGTACCATGCTCGGTAGACTTTAAGAGAGTTGATGTGAGCATGTGTGTGTCTGTGTGCCTGTGCCTGTACCTGTTTGAATGGGTTGCATGTGTCAAGACTGGCCGACGAGATTGCGTCAAGTCAAGTCGCAGTGGGTGCACCAGTTTTGTGAAGCTGGATTCGCGCCTTCATGTGGTCCACATTACCAGTCGACCCTAGGCCGCAGACTCCATGGCCTCAAACTGTTCGAATATTCACGGAGCAAGCCCAAAACTGAGCTAAGAGTCTCCCTTTGGATCGGAGAAAAGAAGATAGAGAGTTCGCGGATCGAGAATTCCTGCAAAAGCCCTCCTTCACAGGGAACATCGAAGTCTAATCGTCAACCTGTGAGCGTAAGAGGACCATGAACTTGTGATAGTTTCGACTTTTTAAAGTGAGGTAACGATTAAAAGTTGAATTTATGGTAATAAAATTAGTAGGCCTTGTCTCCCGAAAGACATTCTCGTCCAAGCTGAATGGAGGTTTTGAACTTGCATGGATAGAATCGGTACCACTCCAGAATCAAAACCGGGGTCGTGACGTCTTCTCCCTAATTCATTATGGACAACTCAACTTTCACTACTTTCATCGCCTCAAACAACCGAAAGTGACTCTATTATTAACAGAACATTTTAGAATTGTCTCTATCCCTTATCATTATGTATAGAGTATTCGTTGTTACTTAGCTTTTATTTCGAATTTTGCTACTTATTTGGCTCTCCTAGTTTATAATCTTTTAATATAGAGCTATTTGTATTTATTTTTTTATAGGCAAATATGCCTCCTTTAGCAATAGATAAAGATCATTCTCTCACTTGCACCCAAATTTTGGTACATTTCATCCTACCCTGCAACGTAAAATTGCGTTTCTATCCTTTGGCAGTTCGTCCAGAAGACAAGCATGTTTCTGGCATGCACTGTTTCACGTAGCAACAACTCACCAACAGAGTGACTACTCTCCATCAACCAGCTTCAAAATGAGGAAGTGAGCTCGAAGCGGTTAATAGTCACTCAACTCCACAACAGCAGGCTCCATCAGAGAAGATAGGACTTTTATAAAAAGTAAGGATTCTTCAATGTCCTATTTTGTGTGGCTGATTTTGCCAAGGCAGATCTTCATTTTGACAATATAACCAACGACACTACTATTCACATTGCGAGTAGTCTCTGGACTGCCAGTGGATTTCGAGCAGGAACTCGAGTCAACCGATGCAAAATGTAAATGCATCCTGAATGGAGTAGATTTAAAAGTGACCAAGCAGTCATTTGGCCACCTAAAACGACAAGCTGTCTCGAATTTATATTCTGTCTATCGTGCCAGTTACTAAGCCGACGCCCTTGGTACTAAGTGGAATTTTTAAGCTGAAAGAAAATATACCAAAACCTACTTGGCTCCGGTTAGAACACACAAGACAAGAAGAGGAGATCTGTCGAGATGCGGTAAAATGTAATCCGTTCTTTTGGGCCATTCGCAGTCTCGATTGCATCAATGCTCTCAGTTTTCTGATTGAGAAGCCTACTTTCATCTGCTGAACGGGAATTTTCTGTCGTAGTCGAAATTCCTGCATCAGTGGAGTGGGGCACTGGGCTGTTATTGGAGGTCGCGC